CCAAGTGTCCCTTCCCATGGCAGGGAGGAGGTGTACCTGAGCGTTATAGGAAGGTGGCATTCTCTCCCCAGGTCTACATCCCTTGAGTTGAACCTGACCTCAAATTATAATGCATATTTAGTATTTAACCTGATTGAGAAGTGGGATGTCTATGTTAACCAATTATTCTGGTTAACAGGAAGATGCATATGTTCTTTGTAACCAGTTTTGCTTGCTGTGGGACTCAGTCTAAGACCACAAGAATTCAGAACCTTTGTCTGTAACTCTAGTTCAGGGGTCTCAGGCCATCACTGGATACAACAGTGATCCTTGTGTGTTGTGTGATATTTTGTTTGTGTTCTGACAAATAAAGCTTGCTTGGAATCAGAGGGCAGAGTTAGCCACTAGTTAACCATAGAGGTTTGGAGGACTGTAGAGAGAAGGACAGGAAGTGGTAAGGCGGGGGTAAGATAGGATCTCGTCCCTTTTTGGTTGGAGGAACTGGAGAGGTAGGAAGTGACTATGGCTGTTCCCCTGCTTCTCTGACCTTTCAGGTTTTTACCCCAATATCTGACTCCTGGTTTTTATTGATAAGATTAATTAGAATTACACTGTACTTGTGAAAAAGAGATGTGAATTAACCAGGTGTCAGAAAAGGCCACTGAAGGCCTGTCAGGTTTCTAACGGAGAGTTTGAAGGTCAGACGAGTGTGCTTGAGGAGAATTTACAATGAAAGCGCATGGTCCCTATGGCTTCTGAGCTCCAACAGCCCAGAGTCCACAGCCCTCTGAGGTGTGATGTAAGGAGAAGTACCTAGTCCACTGCGGCTGATCCCCTCCCCCATCAACTTCTGCACACTCTGATGCCTGGGGTCTCTCATTCTCTCTGCAAGAAACTTTTATTCTAATTTTATGTGCATTGATGCTTTGCCTGCATGTATGTCTGTGTGAGGGTGTTGGATCCCCTGGAACAGGAGTTATAGACAGTTGTGAGCTGCCATGTGGGTGCTGGCAGTTGAACCCGGGTCTTCTAGAAGAGCAGCCAGTGCTGTTAACTGCTGATCCATCTCTCCAGCCCTATAAGAAACTTCTATTTTACTTTCATTTTGAAGACAGAAGACTGAACCCGGGGCTTTGTACATGTTCTACCACGATGCTTCTCCCTACCTCTGCCATTATCTTACGTGTTTATTTTGAGGCAATGTGTCACTCTCTCCAAGGTTAGGCTTGAACTCATGATGCTTTGTCTCAGGTCCCTGAGTGCTGAGGTTACAGGTATGCCCCACCACACCCAGCTGCCACTAATCTTCTATAGACTTTGTGCTGAAGGTCAAGACTGAGAGGAAACACAGTCCCTCGGTCCAGGGCCAGTCAAGGTGCCAGACAGCTATAGTAAGGAGCGCAGTGCCAGGAACGTCCCCCTGTCCTGTTGTTTAGGGAAGAGCTGGAGCGGCAGAGGCTGAGGGCGGTCCCGGCAGCTCCCAAGGCTCTTATCCAGAGTCATGGTGCTGGGCCCATGGCTGAAATCAGAAAGTGTCAGATGGAAAGAAACTAATTTTTTTTGTTGTTGTTTGTTTTTTTGACACAGGGTTTCTCTGTGTAGTTTTGGAGCCTTTCCTGGAATTCACTCGGTAGACCAGGCTGGCCTTGAACTCACAGAGATCCACCTGCCTCTGCCTCCTGAGTGCTGGGATTAAAGATGTGTGCCACCACCGCCCGACTGGAAAGAAACATTTTAAAAGAAGAAGAATCTACTTGGGCTCACTGTTTGGGGGTCTTGGTCCATGGTCGGCTGACACCATTGTGCCTGGGCCAGTGGTGAGGCATCATGGCAGAAGGGTGTGAGAATAGAACTGCTCACCTCACAGCTGGGAGACAGAGGGAATACCCAAGCTACTGAGTTCCTCTTCTTTCCTGTTTCTCCATCCAGGACCCCAGCCTGTTGGACAACATCTCCGGCATTCAGGACAGGCCTTTTCTTTGCAGTTAATCATTTCTGGAAACACTCTCAGAGACATAACAGATGTACACCGTGAGAAACTCCTAGGCACTTCTCAGTTCAATCGACTTGTCAGCGAGACCAACCATCACCCTGGAGATGGCTTTGATTCTCTTCTGCTGGATCCCACCTCTGGATGATGCTCTGGGGGGCAGATATACCTCCTTTTCTAGCACCGACGAGAAAGCCAGCCAGAACCTCCTGGCTCCACCTCAACCAAACACCCAACTTCCTCATTCGGTTCAAAGCTCGTCTTCCCTTTACCAGACGTGGCCATCGCCTTTTCTCCACCCCATTCTTTTGTTTTTGTGGTGCCAGCCCACAAACCCAGGACTCAGAAGTGTTAGGTCGGTGTTTTATCACTGGGAGACATTCCTAGCCTGCCCATTCTGTTCCTCCTCCGCCTCTTACTCCAGGGTGGGGTAGGAAATCAAGATGGGGGAAGGGCAGAGACTTTATCTAACTGGGATCTTTGAGAAGAGCTCTTGCTGGGTGGCACCAGCAACTCTTCAAACTCAGCTACTTTTTAAAAAACCAGCAGGCTTACCAAAGACCTTGTCCCAACAGCTCACTACTCACATCCCACAGTGGCTCCTGCTTATGTTGCTAAGGCACATGTCCCCTCCCCCACCCCATATGCCACCCATTCCGCCCGACACTGTAGTCATGTGTCCTAGCAAGCAAATCTCTTCCCGCGCCCTCAACAGAGACGTGAAGACAGCTCTTCCCCATTGTATCTGTTCTGCACCCCTCTGGAGGAGAAACCCCATCATCCTGCATGAGTGACTGTGTCTGTTCTGCACCCCTCTGGAGGAGAGACCCCATCATCCTGCATGAGTGACTGTGTCTGCTCTGCACCCCTCTGGAGGAGAGACCCCATCATCCT